AGCAAGAGCTCACTTTCATTTAAACTGGGTCCCCGTCGCTGTTGCCACTCATTGAGTTGTTCAACTCAACGCGCGGCTTAGACGGCGACAAATCCCCCGTGACTGCGTTTGAATGATTGTTGGGCATTTGTTGTGGCTATAAAATATGGGAGCACCCCCTAAGGAAACCACCCCTGAACACCACCCCTGAAAAGCCCGGGGAATCGAGGAAACACCTGAGTCTGGCTCCGAGTCTGAGTCTGCGTTTGGGAGAGTAACCATGGGTAGGCGTGTGAATAATAGCGAGTAATTAATATTTGGACATTATTCTTCGGCACACATAAAGTAAAAAGGAAAAGAAAATGCTCGGTTAATTAGCTGGGGAAAATTCGTGGCGGAAAAACGTCCTCATAAGTCATAAAGTGCAGGAAAATCGAAGGATAACGTCGAGTATTCCATTAAATGCAGCTATATAGTCAGAGATATAGCTACATAACCATCTGAATAACGATTTCAGTAGCATTTTAATTGCCCGAATTGCCATTAAACAGATAAATAGAGTTCCCAGAGATACATATATTTATATATACAAGGACCCAGTGCCTGCGAACATAAAAACTTAATGTCCTGCAATTTGTTAAAAGATGCGCAAACTGCCCAATAAAATAAAGCGAAGGAGAAGTAACTTTAATGCCGAGCCAACCAGACCTAAGTGTGATTGAAAAGATTGTGAAAATCAGAAGCTCCACTTGAGCTAATTGTTTGCCTGCATTTTGGGACGAGGATGCCCGCATCCTGCGACAGCTGTGTCCACAGGACACTTTGTTTGCCAGCCAGTGTGTGTTTGTAAATAAACTCATGCACTATGATAAATCAAAGTCACTTAGCGTTGATGTCGATTTGAAATTCACTTACCGCCCCGCCGAATGTCAAAGGAACTGACCAAACAAAGAGCCAGACCAGAGAACCCAAGGACATATCATTTATATCAATTTAAATAACGACCTTTCAATGGCTTGAAACGGAAAATAGACAAAATCCCCGTAAAAAGCTCAGAGCCAGAAATGTTGAAAATGGAGATGCTCGAGTGATAGAAAAGGATATCGTCTGAAATCGATATAAACAATTCTTAAAAATATGTTTTTTTAAAGGTATTAATTACATAACTTCACTACTTCACTTACATTCGATAAGTACATACTAAACAAGAACGGAAGCAAAACTATGGAAAGCTAGATCCACTCCCCTGTTAATGCAGATCAAGAACATTATAGAGTCGGAAATGAATTGATACAATCTTATGACTGAGGTGATGATACCCTGAAAGGGTAAAAAAATCAAACCTATTTCATTTATAAACATTTCCAATCGTGACACGCGAGCATCTCCAATTCCTGCGCTTAGATGGATGGTCGGACGAGGCATTGACAGTTGTAAGCCATAAACCACAGAAAATTGGGCATTATATTAGTTAAGATGCTGTCAGGCTGAAAGATATCCCCATCCGCCCCGTTCGACTTAAGGGCATGGGACAGCCCACAGTGCAGACATATCGCTTTCAGCGCTGGGATACAAAAAGGACAGGAGCTATCCGTATTCCGTATCCGGTATCCTGTATCTCGTAACCGTAGCTTGTCCGGCACTAAAACACCGTTTGACAGGCAACGAAAGCCGGAACAGAGGAAAACCGGTGACCACCAGATAAGCTAAAGCATTCATCTTATACTTATACTTCGAACAAAAAAAAAAAAAAACAAACAAAACGAAGGGAGAAATAAGAAAGGGAAATACTAAAGTTAAACAAAAGTTGGACGCACATATTAAGGGCTTAAAGTGTAACCAAATACCGAAAACCAGAACTTATCTTGACAGCCGGACTGTGCACTTAACCAGGTTAGCCGGCAGACAATATATACACACCTATATATCTTGATCAATTTGGGGGCGAAAAGCTAAAAAAAAAAAAAGAAACTTAAATCATAGCCCCCAGCTTTTGTTTATCTTTTTTTTTTTGGTTCTGCGAACCTGGTTACGGTTGCCCTTCTTTCTTTTTTTCCTGGCTTTGTCTGCGCCACTTTGCTTATCTTGGCCACAGTTTTTATTGGTCGCCTTTTATTTGGCATGACACCCCCATATTTTACCAAATAAGAGAGAGCCACAGCGCCAGAGATAAGTGGCAAGCGGAAGGACATGCGAATTAGTTATGGTTTGAGGGGGTGAAAACTCACTATTGGAGAAAGGGTTCCATGGAAAGTAAGAGTTGAAAGAAGGTGTAAAAATGGGATTTAAAAATAAGAAAATAAGGGAACTTTCAAGAAATAATTGTGGGAGATAATTAAGTAAATAAAAACCTTTAGTTTGAAAGCAAGAAAATGCTGTTGCAAAATATTTTACTCTTTTCTTACATATATTTCCATTCTTATTTATTTATGTATTATTCCTATTTCCTTTTCCTCATTTAAAAATGTCACAAAAAATAAATGCCAAGACATTTATCCCTCTCAATAAATTACATCTTCAATTTAATGTATATCCTTTTATACATATATCCCCTTTTTCCACAACGAATTTACATCTCTATCAAAAATTATCGTTGCAATTTTTCAGCAGAAAATCAAAAATTTCATTGCCACCGCAAAAAAAATCAAATTTCAAGAGAGCTCTCACCAGTTACCAGGTAATGGAAATTCGGTTATTTTTTTTCTCTGATCCTGGGATATTTTCAAACATGACACCTGGGAAACTTTGGCATACAAATTTATGAAAATATTTGCACATCAATTTTACTGCTCAACAGGAGAGAGAGATGAGGCTTCATTGAACTTGGAGCTTCGCATTACACAAAAGGAGGTGAGACTGGTCCTGCTCCTGCTCCTGTTACTGCTCCTGCTACCCCAATCCTCATGAAAACATGTATAAACTGAATCAATTTTTACCGCGATAAACTTCGGCAACGCCACCTTGCTGGGGAAAGCACTGAGGTTACTGCAAAATGTTGTGTAAAATTTGCAAATGCAATAAATAACTCGTTTCGTGGAAAAAAGAAGGGTTTGCTTTTTTGCTGTTTACACCCCCTTACGGAATCATGTAGCGCTTCCTCTCTTCTCTTCTCTTTTTTTTTTTTGCTGTTTCCGTAGTCCTGTTTAGGATTTTTCCTTCCCGCCGCCGTGCACCAAAAACCAAAAGCGCGCCACATGTGCGAGTCTGCCTGTGTAGTTCCTGTGGGTTATTCCCCTGCAGGTTTGCGGGGTTACTCTTCTGAAGAAGAGTTTTATGCTTTAAAGGGAAGCAATCACATATAAAATAATATATAAAAATAACAAATAAAGTCTAATATTTATATACAGGTACCAGAATTTAAGTTTCTTGCTTAGCAACATTTTCTCTCATTTTAAGATCAACCAATGTAGTATTTTAACTTAAACAAACACCTTCCTTTTTTATATGCTTTCAGGGTATTATAACATTTTACCCTGTGACGGAGTCATTTCCATTTCATATCGATTTAATGAATTCTTTTTACGCTTACTTATAATTGATTTCTGATTTGATTTTATGATTCAATTGCATGCTGCAAGGGTATATAGAATTTGGCTTCCGGAAGCTAGTTTCCTTTCTTGTTGTTTTTCGCTTTGCGTGTTTTTTTTTTTTTTTGTCGGGAAAGCATCCCTGAAAGTATGCAAATAATTTTTGCGGCTCCAACTCATATTTGATATTCAGTGTCAGTTTGCTCGGAAGGGTTAGCCGAATTCAAGTTATTGAAATTTGCATGCAACGAGGGAAAGGGGCGGTGCCAGAAGGGTGAAAAAAAGGACGAAAAACGTGGCAAGGAGAAGGGAGAACAGCAGGCGTTGTTGAGGCAATTTATAGCACTTGTGTTTGGGGGTGTTCGGCGTTCTTCTCGGTTATTGTTTCGCCATTGCTGCGATTTTCCGCCCCCCGCCCCAAAGGGTGTAATTGTTTCGCAGTCTTTCGAGCTTTGATTATGTTCCTACCCAGATTTTTCCTTAAATACTCCCCACACATTCCAGGGACGAGTAGATGGACCCAATTAGGCATTCGCATACGGGTCAACACGCTTGCACATCCATCAGGACTTTCGATTTTTTTATGCCGGCACTCAAAAGTTGCCATGCCAACGAAAAATCAAACTAAAAAACGCAGCGAAAATCCCAGAAAATCGCAAAAAAGTACGCTAATAACATTGTCATATGGTTGACGCGCTCTCTATCTCCCTTCCTTTTTTTGCCACAAAACTTCGCTTATCAAAGTTGAAATTGCAGTTCGGGATTTGGAAAATACAAAAAAAAAAAAACAAGAGAAACTCCAAATGCGAGGCATTTATGGTAGTTTCTGGGGATTTCATTCGAAACTCTGATACGAGCAATCGGCGTTTTATTTCCCCCGTCGGGTTTCATCATCATCATGGCCACCACTGACCCAGTTCAGACATTTATCACAGCACTCACACACAGCACAGAGATCCTAAGGGTCTAACCCCAGGACAATGAATGAATGTCGTCCTCCTCTTCGTCATATCCCTATCCTATATCCTTTCCCCCGCTCTGACTGCTGACTAAGTGGACTTTTATTTCACTATTACCAGGGCCACCATGGCGTATACGCAATAAATAGTTTCGCTTGGCAATGAGAACTTTTTCCCCTAAAATTCACATAATAAAGGCCTGGTTCTTTGTTCACTTTAAACTACATATAAGCAACCCAACATTTCGCCAGACAATTCCCCTGAATCACAAACCTTCGAAAGACATGAATGAATTTATAAATCCCATAAACCTTTTGCCTATCTCTTATCTGAGGGTTCTTCACCCACAGAAAATAAAAAAAAACGTCATTGATTCGTCGATGGCGTCATTTGTCATCTTTAAATTTATAATTCAATTTCAAACAAGCGCCGGCCACATGGAAATTTCAGAGAGAGATAAGACTATCTACAAAATAGCATTGCTTCCGAGTTATTTCAGAAAAGAAGAGTGCTTTCAGTAGACGAGCGACTTTGGAGCAAGTAAGATCACCATGAAGAACGTGATTTTTCTACTTTTGACAGTGGTAAGTTAGGAAGTGTTATAATAAAACTTTAAAAACCATATTAAACTTGATGTATCCCTTAATTTTTACAGCTCTCTCCCTCCCTGGTGTATTCTGCTGGAGATCAGAGTCGCCATCGCTTGTTTTTGCAATCGGATCAGGCCCTGGCAACCATTACCAAACAGCTGGTGGTCCAGGCCATTGAACTGGTGGATAATGTTGTGGAAGATCTGCTTGTCTTGGACTCCCGGAACACCATTCTCATGGGTTATCTGGATAGCTTTGATGCCTTCACAGCTGTGAATCCAAATAGAACCGAAGAGAAGCTCCGCACATTCTATGCTGTTGTGGAGGATTACCTGGACTCTGATACCACAGGAGATCCCTTGAGATTGTCAAGCCTAGAGACCCAACTGATTGCCCTTTGCCTGCAGCGCAGTGGCTTTGATCGATGGAAGAGAACAGTTCAGACCCGAACAACACAGCTCCAGAAGTTGATCTATAGGAAGCTGAGGAAGCATTTGGAAACCCTGGACAAGGAGGATCGATTGGCTGTGGAGCGGCGTTGGCGAAGAATCCTCACCCGCGGTGGACCACGAAGATTGGAGAAGCTGAGGGAGTTCGTCAAATGGCTGGGCAAGATTAGAGATTAGCTTGGATTTTTGATTAAATTTAGACTATATAATCTTGAATTAATTAGGTGATAAAAGACATATTTAGGCATTAAATAAAAGCAAAGAAAAATACAAAAGGTATTCTTATTTTATAAAAGAACAAGGATAAGTGTAGAACACTTACATATATTTGTTATTAAATTTGCCAAATTTTGCGCACTGTACACTTTTATATTTTATTGCCCAGAGAATTACTACATTATTAGTTAGATAATAAAGATAGTAAATTCCATTCAAGGTGAACAAAAACCCAAAAATTATATTTAGAAAAGTCTCCTAAAAAAAGAGTATTATCTTTTTATATTTCCAGACTTTGCTGCTACTCTGGCAAATGCAATTTTTTACATACTCTAATAGAAGCCATCCTCCCATCACTTGGATCATGTTTGAGAGCTTTGTTTAATGCACTTCACAGCTGGCGGAAACTCTCCCTGTGTGACGAAGACGGCAATGAAAACTTTTGTCATGCCGCCTCGAAAAAGGACGAAGGAAACTTTGGCTAAAAATTATGAAACTATATGAGACGATGGCGAAGAACAACAAAGCCAGAGCCAGAGCCAGAGCCATGTGAGAACTAAAACTGAAACTAAAACTGATACTTTTTATGGATGGCAAGTGAAAAATGTAGACAGTTGCAGAACGACTTTGCCTGGGCGGGGATGGATGGTGGCGATGGTGAGAGGGATTTGCAGGGATAAAAGAAAAATGGCAACTGCATTTCCTGTCTGAGAGCTGACAAAGTGCTGAGTGCATTTACGACTTGGACTTGGACGAGCGAGTGTTTTGTGTCTTTCGTGCCAGCAGGAGCAGCAGCAGCATCAGCAGGAGTTGCCTCCGTTCCTGGAATTTATGCACTCGACAGTCCCACAGAGGAAAGTGTGGAAGCTCGGGGAAAATTCCCAAGTCCTTAGGCATCTCTACTCCGCCCTGCCATCTGATAATCAGTCCGAGCTGTGGCTAATCGGTTTACATTTCTCACCCTGCCAGTCTGTCCAAGAGGAATCTCTAAACTTGTGGAAAGATTCGACCTAGAAAGAGGCAGCTTGTCCAGAAATTTTAAAGGGATTGATCCAATAATCCAGGGATAAGTTTACTTTTAACTATATGCATTTCATACAAATACCAAAAGGCTTTTTAGAGTTTTACATCCATTGACTTTGTCCTTATAAAAACATATTTTCTTTTTGTTGTCCCAAAGTACACAGAGCTAGGCCTCAGTTGTCTCATCGCGACACCGGCGACAGTGAATGCACAGGAAGGAGTTCACACAGCCGAACAGGACGAGAAGGATTATACAGCCGATGCACAGGAGTGTCATCACGACGATCACACCGAATATGAACAAAAGTCCCCACATTTTCAGTGTAAGTGGTGGTTCCGGCGTCGTCGTTCCATAGTAAAAGCCATATCCAAATGTCGAGTTGTCGTAAGGCATTGCTGAATTTTGCTAATTTTATATATTTTTTTATATCTGCTAACAATTTTGTACAATTAAAACTAAGGGAAATTTTGAATAAAAAGTTAAAGCCTGCTTGAGTTTCAAGTTCAAGTCAAGAGTGCAACTCTTCTGGGGTTTATTCTCAGACATCAAGTGACTTCTAATGATCTTCATCCGAACAAAAGAGTGCTCATTAAACGGAGGCAAGCACAATGCTCCTCATTCGAATTGTATAAAAATTAATGAAATGCATTAACGAAAGCGATGCTAAAAGGGGGTTTTTTGGGTTTGGGGTAACCCTCGAACAGGGATCTGGGGAATTGTCCTTGAGCTTCTGAGTGTATGTACCTGCGCTCGTTAGTACACCCACACACACACACACATCCCTTACACACACCCCACTTCGCATATGCAAAAAAAAATAAAATAACACTCGCCTCTCCTCATCATTATCATAATTTGAGTGCGATGCGGCGGTGGAAGCTTTAAAATATTCATGCGAGCAAAAAGATTTTCATTTATTTTCCAAGTGTTCACACGTGTGCACCAGAGTGTTTACTGTACCAAGAGGAGAGAGAACTCCGCACTAAAGGGTGGCTGCTGATTATAATGACTGTATTTTGTGTGCTGATTACTCCACAGAGATGTATTTAAGACAATGAGTCAACAACTAAATGGAATAAACGTGAGGATTATACAGAAGAGCAGAGTTATTTATACAGAGTGTTATATTTTAACTGCATTTTGTAAGCCTGAAACTTATTGTCTATTGTTATTTAAACAGATTTATTATATTCATTGACTTGGTATTAAGAATTTATACCCCGTTGCAGTTAAGACTTGAATTATAGAGTCCTATCAGAAGTCGACCATATTTATGTTTCAGATATTCGATATTTTTATATGACATTTATTGGACAAATCAAATTTTAAAACATGTACATAACTATGCTAAAAAAGCATTAATTTCAATTCGGAATGCATTCCTATGTTAGATTTTATCAGGGTAATAAATCTGAATACTCAGTTTAGCTGGACATAGCTAGATCGATTCTCCTGTTAATGCTGATCAAGAATAAATAGAATTTATAGGGTCGGAAATGACTGCTTTACTTCGTTAGAGACTTCTGAGTTAAATTATAATACAAACAATTTCACATAGCAAAATGTACAACTTTTAGTTTAACCAGAACATAGGTCCTACAGGAAATCCTTGTAATATTTCCTTCCGATTGATCAATTGAACCTGTTCGTTCGCTTATCAGCAATCACTGATTGCATTTTGTGGGCTATTAGAGACGTTTGTCAGCCAATTCCCAGGCAACATTGAAGGCTCATTCACTTACCTACTTCGCACCCACACAGTTACACTATCGACACTCTCGAATGCACGGGGACTCACACTCTGGCATTCATTGAAACACACATGCACACCTTGACACACCGCTATGGGCACTTCCTAACTCCCTTCCTCTCTTCCATCCCCCCATCATGGCACACGTGGCTGCATGTCAAAGTGCAAAGTTTTGTGCCACAAAAAAAAAATAAAAAAATAAAAACTGTAAAAGAGTTGAAGGGGAGATGGGAGTAAATGGCAGTCAAAAGCGCCGCTTGTCGATGTTTTTGAAAAATAAAAACGAAAAAGTCATAGGGGAAAAAATGCTACACGTTTGCCCAGGCAACCCTTTTAGCTCGCTGGCAATTTAAACCTCACCAGCACCAAAGTTGCACCACTTGCCGTCATATCCTGGCGTTGTCCTTGTTGTTGCTGCGGTTGCTCCAGTTGCAGCATTCCTTCGACGGATGAGGGAGTAGCTCAGCGGGTCTCAGGGGGTCTCAGAGGGTTAAGGCAGAGCTAAATGCGTGGCAGACAACGCGCGAATGCACAAAGTCAACTTGCACAACTTAGAATTCGATGAAGGATGAGATGAGGGAAAAGCCTAGTGACTAAAGGGTATTTTAGGGATAGTACAAAAGTGCTGAATATAGTTACCTTTATTGTTTGTATTAGATTTAAATATCTAAGCAGTCTTCTTATTACTTTTTATTGTAAGCCATAAAACACAAACGACAGTTTAGCATAAAAAGGAAGAAATCCTTTGGAAAGAAAGGAGTAAGTCAGGAAATACGAAATATATTAAATTTCTGTTAAGAATTTATATGTCTAAGATGCCTGGGAAATAGCATTTCAGTTACTGTGAGACTTCCTCTTGCAATTTCCGCACCAAAGCGACAATCATTTCCTTGTCGAATACATATACATATCTGTATCTTTGTATATTCCCAACCAATCATCATCATCATCATCATCATCGGTGGAGGATAAACGCAGCAGCAATGATCATGTTCGTGTTTCCCCATCATCGCATCGCATTCATTGGCACTCAACGGAGGCAGCGAATTGCAATCGTAAACTTGATTGTAATAGTATAATTTTTGGCGTAAAAGCCAAACAAATAAACAAGCCAGGGACAAGGACTACGGGATAATCCCCGCACATATGAGACAGCCCAAGCCGTACTCCCCATTTTCATGCAATTTTTATGACTAGCCTCTATTTTTTTGCCCTTCTTGGGCGAGAGAATCTCACTCATAATCCGCCCCAATGGACCTTTCTACCCCGGATGGGGCTGCAAAACCATTTACTTTTCCGCAGCAAAAGAATCCTTGGGCATCCTTGTATTCGTTTTCCCCCCTGCTTAGCACGCAGCCTGCGAAAAGTTATTGTTATCCTTTTGTTTTAGTGCGCATCCTGCTGCCTGGGCCCGTGCCCTTCATTCGCATTGATTCATAAAACATAAATATAAATATTGCGTATACGCAGCGTTCGCCCTGCCCTCGATTGCCATAAATTCTGATATAAGCATGGCACACAAACACAAGCCATCAATCTTTTACCATTTCACTTAGATAAAGCAAAAACTTGCGCTCCTTGGCCGCCAATATTTGTGCATAAATATTAATATTGCATGACCATTTTTATTTGTTTGCCGGACAGGCAAGGATCTGCGTGGCTTGAACAACATGAAGCTGAAATCGAAAAGGAGCAAGGATTTCTAAATTGAAGATTACAGCTACATGTTTATAGTTCTTTTAAATGAAATTGTATAATTATAATATAATATAATATATATTTCCTGTTCCCTTTCTTTATAAAAACTCTTGTGTTCTTAGTATTATGACTATATATATTCCACGACGATAAACATGACAATTTTAAATAGGAATCAAAAACGCCAATCATCTTCATCAAGACAGCACCACCAACCGCAGCCACAACAGAAGAAGATCAGGCAGATGGTACAAAAAATTAAAGCGAGCAAAGTGATTCCAAGAGCGATATATATACCAGTGTAGTTGGGTTTGACCGGCGCTTCAGTTGCATCTGTTAAGAACAATGATTCATCGGACCAAGTGGTGGTATCCGAGTAATTAGTAAATGTGTCCATTTTTACAACTAGAAATTTTTACCAGTCACCAAATTTCAACAAATAATTTTAACGAAATGATATATTTCAATATGGGGAAAATGTGGAACTACTGACACTATTAACAAATCATATATGTTTCAAAGTTTTAGATTGTGAAATTGTATTTATTTTGCCTTGCTAACATTTAATATTAGATTTATTTTAAAAGTGTTTTAAAAATATATACAAATAAAACGTTTACAGGACAATATATCAATCCAAGTAATAGAAAATGAATGTGACAAGATTTTATTTAATTTTCTGGCTGCTATTACAGGAAATAATTTGAACATTTTGCCGCTCAACAACTTTGGCCAATAAAATGGACCTGATTTATGCGGTTAAATAATTAGCGCCTTTTAGGAGCCATTAAATGGATGCCAAACGGGGCTCGTAAAAGCCCATCAATCGCTTATTCCCCATACTATATATGTATATATATCCATATACGATGCCCATTGCCAAAATAACCCGCCCCCGTTGGCGGTAATAAATTGAATGCCCCAATATTTGGTAAGGGGCACATTGAATTTAAATATTTGCAATTACATTTAAATGTTTGGCCATGTGGATTTCGATTTCGGTTCAAAAGGGGGAGGTGTCTGCGGAAATATCCTTTGCCAGTCGTCCTGTCTGTTCGCACATGCCAATAAATTTCGAGGCACAAAGTGTCAACTGGGCCGAGCCCTTCCATTTGCATATATATATATATATATTCCCCTGCACCTTCGGTGCCTCCTTAGTACCCACAGTAGCCCTACCATATTGCCAGTCCTTTCTTTCCGCTACTTACAACAATATTATAATGGAATCCCACTCGAAAATAGAGCAATATCCACTTGCATATGTTGCCGCGGACATTTCGGGAATGAGACGATGCTATAAATATTATTGAATTGTTCCACGCCCTTGCCACCCAACAAGGAAGGATCACCCCTTCTTTCGTCCTTCTCAAGTGTCCGCCTCTTCTGCAGCAGCAGCAACAATAACAACAGCAACAGACAGAGACAATGATTGCGGCAAGCGGATGTAAAAACCTTGGCAATGACAGTTTTTCGGTCTCCAATCCAGGGGCTACGTCTGTTATGCAAATGTCTATACATATAAATATGTGGGACACTGAGAAAAACAAAGAACAAAATTATTTATTTATTAAAAATGTGCTGTCATTATTATCTTTTGACCATAAATATCACCTCACTAATGAAATACATCTACATAGATATCCAGAAGGAAGGTCTCTTCGATTTGTAATAAATTTTTAAGATTATTGAATTCATACGCTTTCTATAGTTTTAAGGCTGACCCTGACTTTGGCACCAGCTTTTGCCGCATTATAATACTTTATAATATTCCTTCCCAAAATCCATTATTTTTTCTCTGTGTATTTTTTGAGTGTGTGTGTAACTGTTTATATGCAAATCTTTTATTTCGCCGTTTCATTTCTTATTTCCGTTGCACGGCCGCCGCCATCGTCGTCGCCGCCGTTGACTTTTTTATTTCTCCTGCATTAAATTAACATCAATAAAATGTTGCCTCTGTTTGCCAGAGTCCTGCCCTCCCCGACTGGACTTCTTTTCCTGGGTGTCCTTGTGCTCCCATATCCGCCTGTCC